CCCCCCCCCCGGCCCCCCCCTTTTTTTCTCATTTTCCTCCTCTACCGCAAACTCTTCCCACAGCCTCCATGCCAGCCTATGGGGAGAGGCAGCTGGAGAGAACTAACTTTTAAGGTCAGCTTCTTCATGTGCTCATATGCGCTTCTTCCATCCAGGGTGGATTGGCGGTCCGAGCGGGTGGTGGGTGTCCACAGGCTGGAGCCCAGAGTTCCTGGGGGCCGTGTGATGATAGGAGCCAGTGCGTGGAATGTCCTCCCAGGTGAATGTGTAGGGATTCATAGGTAAAGTTTGGAGCCCAGAATGAAGCTGCCCATGCGGAGACCACAGGCCTCAGGTTGCTGTCCACAGGCTCAACCAACTTCTCTGCACCTCTTAGAACACCTGCCGGGGTCGCTGGTCCGGGGGACACCCCTGCACACTAAGTGCAGGGCCCGCCGTGTGTGCATCCGCACTGCACTGGGGACTCCCTGACTTCTCCAGAACGCTGTTCAGCTTCACCCCTCAGTGCCCATCAGGTCCTGCTCTTCCAAGTCCTTGTCAGTCTCTGGGATCAAGTCTACTCTCTCCCCTTCCAAGGGCTCCGCAGTGACATAACCTCGGTTGTTTTTCCCTCATAAAACCGTGACCCTGTCAGCTGGGGGCTCTAAGAGCTCCTCTGTTTTGCTCTCTCATCTGAGAATGGGACAGCTACGGTCCAGGCAAGAGAAGTGAGCCACTCATAGTCACCCAATCAGTAGGGGCAGAACTGGCATTTGAATCCAGTTTTCCGGATCCAGGACGGAGATCTTTCCTCCTCATCAGAGGTTTCAACACTGCTGTCCCTCCGGCTGGGCATGTGCCCTCCGCTGGGCACACCCAGCTCACCTTGCCCTCACCTGTCCACAGAATCTCTGCTCTGTCCCACCACGTCACTGGCTTCCAGAATTCCAGGGTCCAGCCTGCAGCCTCCTGCGTGGGAGCTGCGTTGGTCTCTGTCTCCCTGCCCACGTGCCCCTGCAGCCGTGGTGCCAAGAGCCTTTCCCTTCACTCCCTCCAGGGTCGCGCATGCTGTTGTGTTGTTTTGTTTTGCTTTGTTTTTGTTTTGCTGTCCCCAGATGAACAACCCACAATGCTTTTATAAACAACCTGCTGTTATCTCCACCTCCCCCTGGCATGATTGCAGCTAAGTGGCAGGCCACAGGGGTCAGCCAGGAGTCCAGGGCACAGAGCCAGGAGAGGAGCCCTCACCACCCTTTAACTTCTGTCCCAGTTGCAGCGTGACCCAAGTGTGCCCTGTTATGCATGATTGGGGGCCCTTTCAAGTGGTGGTGGGGGCAGCGGTTGGGGGCTTGGCTATCAGATCACCTAAGGTTTCACCTCGACATGGAACTTGAGTCTATAAATAAATGAGTGAAAATATAGATAAGAAAAATCATAAATATCTGATTCTCTCTGCACCTGGGGCCAGGAGGAGTTCCCCAACTTTTCCCAGATGTGAGCATTTCATCCATACATTACCTATGCCCCTTCCCCGCCCCTCCCATTCCTCCCTTCTGGGAAGTGTCTTCCTTTTTCCTTTATAAATTATTTTTATTGACCGCCCATCACGGGTATTAAATTCTCCCCCCCCCTTTTTTTAATGAAGCCAGAGGCTTTCCTTTTGTTTTGTTTTTCTTGTTTTAATTTTTGTTTTGTGTTTCAGAAATGACAGGGCTGTGTTGGGGAGTCAATTATTTGGGAGGGGCAGTTGGGGTCATGTTTATCATTTCTGGACAATGTGTTCACATAACTCTTTCCAGCTCACTGGAAAGCAGAGGGAGAGACAGGGGCTTTGGGGACAGACAGATCCACACAAATCCTGTCTACACAGAGTACCTTTGGACGAGCAATTTAAATTCTCTTCACTCCCCTCTTCTTGAAGATGGAATGAAAATACCACCTCAATTAGGCTTGTGTATTACTGTTCTTTGACACATGTTCTCTTTCCTGAAACACCCAGGTGACAGGAGTCTGACCTGTCCCCTCCGTTGCTATCTCCCCGTGTGGAACAGTGTCTGGGGTGGGTCTACTGCATAGATGAATGACTGGCTGACAGGTCACCCTGCTGACAGTCTTGAGAGAGAACATTTTATTAGCTCCATTTTACAGAGGGGGAAACTGAGGCTCAGGGGTTATGACCTTTCCAAGGTCAGACAACTGATAAAAACGGCAGAACCGGGGTAGAGCCCAGATTTGCCCACTTGCTAAGCCCCGTGCTCTTTCTATTCTAGAAAATCAAGTTTTCCAGCTTATCCTTTTCCTGCAGAGAATATTAACGTGCCCAGTAGGGAGGAGGGTGCCGCTGGTTCCTTCATGGCCCCATAGCCCAGAGAAGCCCTTGTCTCTCAAAGGGAGCCCGGGGAGTCCTGGGAGTGCAGAAAGAACATGATCTGTGAGGCGGAGGTGGACGACCAGCTTGGCAGCTGGTGGCTCCCTGAGTGAATCTAGTTGAATTGGAACCATGTGGCTCTTTCCCCAGCCCTTACACAACGGGAGCAGATGCACTGTTTGGTGTCGAAGCCCTTGTGTTAACTTCACAGTTCCAGTTTCTTCCAGGTCTCCTCGTGGCGCAAGGCCGAGGCTGCCAGGAGCAGGGAGGAGGGCGGGGAGTCGGAACCCCTCAGCAAGTGTCGGGGAACCCCACTAGCCCTGCGATTACTCCCGAGGGGGGTTCTGTGGGGAGCGCAAAGCCCACGTTAGTGTGGGGGCTGACACCTAAGTCAGATGCTTGCCCCTCCCCAGGTGTTTCAGAAAGTGAATTTGAACAAAAGAGGTGAACTTTGGTGATGCGCTTTGGAGACTTTAGCTTCTCGCCCCCGCACCCCACATTTTTCTCACCACCCTTCTGGGCAGGGGAGGGAGTGTGGGAGTGAGGAGTCATGTACTGTAAAAGCCTCAGGAGTGTGGTCTGAGACTGGCAAAAAGGACAGACATCAGGGCTTTCCTCTTAAGCTGGTTTGACCACCAATTGCCTACTGTCTCCTGGATAAAAACAGGAAAATAGCCTGAGGCTCTGGATACGAATCTCGCTCTCTGTGCACAGTGTGCCTGCCAGGCTCTAGGGCAGATGGTCAGAGAGGCAAAGGTGGGAGAGAAGTGCCCCAAGAAGCTTTCGCTGCTAGGAATCATGTCAACCTCCAAGAACTAAATGCTTAGCAGCTATAGGAAGACACTGCCGCCACTCGCTTCTCCCCAGTTAGGGCATGTCTGCCATATGCGAGGCATTTCTCTTGCCAATGTGAAGTGCACCCAGATGAAACAGGCGTTATCTCTACCCTCAGGGCAGTTCTAGTCCAGGTGTGGGGAGACGTTACCCCCCGAGGACTTTGGGGCCACACATCTGGGCAGGAACTGAAGTAACTGAATCTCACTGGTCCCTGGTTTTTCTGACTGTGAAATGAGTAACACTGAGCTCATGGGGGTGTTGTGAGGATGGAGTGAGCTCACGTATGTGAGCAATCAGGGACAGTTGGGGGCTGTAGTAGGAGGGGAAAGGTCACCAGGCACAGGGATGTCACATCATTTCCTGTCTGCATCCTTAAGGATGAGCACATGTTCCACACTGCTGGGCTCCCAGGGCCTGTGCTGTCAGTGCCTGCGGCAGGCGCCGCGGGGTTAGAGAAAGGAGCAGGATGTCTGCATGGAGCTCACCTGGGACACAGGTGAAGTGTCCTGTGGAAATGCATGTACCGGGGACCTGAGGAACGGGGGAACTGGAATTGGCAGGAAGGTTGCAACAGCAGCAGCAAAAGACATGAGGCATGACCCCCGGTCAGCATTCCCAACAATTCATAAATTACTGTACAGTTATAAAGGGCTACTCCGTCCAACACCTCAGTGGAGTCTCATGGCCATGTGTGTTGGCTGAATCTGAGAATACACTGGAGGGACATCAGAAAGGTGATGTACCTTGCTCAAAGGTACACAGCTTCTAGGGAACAGAGCGCAGATGTACTGCTATCATTAGCTACCATTTACTGAGTGCTTTTTGGTGCCAGGAATTCTGCTCTGTGCTTTCCCTGAACCATGGAATCTAATTCTCACAACGACCCTTAAGAATCAGTACTACCATAAGACATAAAGAGGCTTCCATTCAACTCGGTGTCTGGCAGATAAGAAACACAGTGAATACTTGCTATACTGGAATGATCCCCATTTTATAGATGGGAAAACTGAGGCTCTGCAAGGTTGGGAGCGTAATAACTTATAAAGCTCTCGAAGATTTGAACCCTGGTTTGTCTGTTTCCATACGTGACCACTGCCTCCAGAGTCTTCCTCACCTAGGCCAGCTCCTTCCTCCCCTCCATCTCCTCTCCTCTCCCTAGGCTCGGCCTCCTGACATTATAGAGAGGGAGGCCATGGGCCTTTATCTTGCAGCTGCAGTGCCCAGGTCCTGTAGAGAAGCTCCCTCTGACCTTCTGGTTTCTTCCCTCTGCAGCTGCGTGCACTTCGCATGTGAGGCCACTGACTGTCCGGAGCTGGCCGTGGAGAACGCCTCTCTTAACTGCTCCAGCAGCGACCGCTATCATGGTGCCCAGTGCACTGTGAGCTGCCGGACGGGCTATGTGCTCCAGATACGGAGGGATGATGAGCTGATCAAGAGCCAGGTGTGTGCAGGTGCTGGGCCCACAGCTCCTCTCCACCTGAAAAGGCTGACTGGGTGCTAAATATGCTCCCTGCTGGATCTCCAGCATTTAAAAACGATGCTGCCACATAGTAGATGCTCAGTAAACAGGGGGTGATTGACAAGGCTCTGAGCTGTTGCCTGGGGAGAAGGGTGTATCCCCATATTTGGGACGCCCTCTGCCACCACTCACTGTGTTCACCTCTGCCTTCCAGATGGGACCCAGTGTCACAGTGACCTGCACTGAGGGCAAGTGGAACAAGCAGGTGGCGTGTGAGCCCGTGGACTGTGGCGTCCCAGACCAACATCACGTCTATGCTGCCTCCTTCTCCTGCCTCGAGGGCACCACCTTTGGCAGCAAATGCTCCTTCCAGTGTCGCCACCCAGCGCAGTTGAAAGGTACAGAGGGCCCTCTGGCTGGGCTCGCCCTGCTTCCTGGGTGGGAAGCCCAGCGGCCGCTTCTGCTTCCAGGCTCCCCTCCTGGGTCTCAGACACCAGGCCTTGGGTGGATTTTATCCATCTCCTGATTTCTCTCCACCAAGTGCACTGATGTAAACATCCCTGTTGGGCAGTTAAGGGAAAATCAAGGTGTGGACAAGTATGGCAATGGCATCCCCTCCAAGATCTTGCAGGTTTTGTAAAAATAAGATTGTATTAAACCGTGATCGGATTAAGTGGGA